TTTTTGCCGGATTTCTTTTTCCGGGTGGAAGCAAGTGGCAGATGCTTTAAAGTCTGCTCCCGTTTCTAAGTGGGAACTAAAAAGCACAGCAAAGTCCAATTTCAAGCCTGCTTTACTTAAAGCTCTGGAGGGGAAGAAGAGAAGGCTGCCCTTGGCACTCCGGGGGGCACCTTTCCCAGCGTGCCGCTCGGGGGACACTGCGTTGGTTGGGACCAGCTCTGGCTGGACAGCTGGAACGCACTTCGCTAGGGTAATTTTCAGCCCTTCCCACTCCAAAAGCCAGCTGAATCCAGGAAATCTCACAGCAAAGTACTAAGACGGTCCTCTCTCCGGGTCAAGCTGCCAAGAAGGGGAGCGGGGTCTGCCTCGCTATGCCATAGGAGAAGGGACATTTACTTTGGGTTGGTCTTTGTCGTGCATTCTGAAAGGGTACGGTAGGATATCATGAACGACATCACGAACTTCCAAAATGCATTTGAAAAAGGCACATATACAATGAAGCATAATCTAATTGTATGATACCATATATACATATAAATATACTTTCTCAAAATCCTCAGCTGCCCTAGACCGCAGGCCATTACTACCATCCGCTTTTCTTTATACACGATACTAAGCGAAGCCAAGATGCAAATTTCTAGCGACAAAGCCAATTACATCGCACTTTTCTTACAATCCCACATTGAGTTTAGGCAACTCAGGTACCAATTCAGCCTCCCTTCTCCCTCCTCATTACGCTACACTGCACAACAACAGTTAAGGAAAGGAATATTATTTCACAAATTGTATTACTGCAGCTCCTGTCCTTGGCTGAAATAAGCACCTTTCCCTAAATTACCTCCAAAGTTTCTTTCTGGAGGAGGAGTGTCTTTGTTCAAATATGAAAAAGCCAGCTCTGGACCTAGACAACAGTAATAATGTCCTATTAAAGGCCTGTTGGAAGGGTTTGGTTTAATTCCTGGCCTCCTCTGCTGCCTGACAGCCTCAGTTTAGGAATCCCCTTGTAAACAGAGAGCGATTTGGAAACTCTTAAAATTGGTAATTTCTTTATCTGTTACTAAATATACTTTAGTTCCACATGGCTATTTTGTGAACTGTGTCCTCCCATTGTAGAAACTACCATCATTAAAAAAAAAAAATCAGGCCAATTAAGAAATCTAGATTCTTTTATCTCATACACACCAATGCCTAGACACCTTTCATATCACATCATTGATAGAAGCACTTTTTAAGGAGAATAAAATTGTTTTAAGCCCATAAGTTACTGAGTAAAGAGCTGGCTTTACTGAAAAATGCTATATATTTTAGTGTGCACTCCTAACTGATTGCAAAGAGAGGTGGCTGTAAAATTCATTGGCCGTAACAACAGATATATAGATAGTGCCCTTTGCTCCAAGAATATGGATCATACGAAGAACAGAATAAGCAGTCACACTTCTATTTCAATTAATAGGCTTGTAATACTCTAAATTGAGTCAAAATCTTGCCATTTTTGATGTAAAAAGAAGTGAAAGGGTTTACTGGCAGGGATGTGTGCAGAAATGGTGCTTTTTTTTAAATGAAAATGGGGAATGCTCACAGGAAGCCAGTTCTAAATTTGCAAATGCATGTTTTTAACTGGAAACCTGATTCCAAGAATTTTGAGAGAGTCCAATAAAAATCAGCCAGGTTCAATTTCCAACACGAAATACTTAGAACAAATGGATCCGCAGGCCAAGGATTATCTACTGAAATTCCTAGTACACTGTGAATGACTAATGAACTCAACAAAACTCAAGAGCTTTTCTTAGAAATCTGCAGAGAGCAAGCAAGGGGGAAAAAAAAAAGATCTCTGAGGCCCCACTTTGCACACTTCTGTGTAGGGGTAAACTGCTTTATATAAAACACACTAATAATTTTCAGTAGGAAGTGAGGGCTAAAATAAATGCAAGTCCAAAACTTTGTTCAAAATTTGAACTAGAATTTAATCTTTCTCTTTTTCCTAGCTCTAGTATGAAAAACTTCAGTGAGTGTTCAGAAGGGGACATTAATAAAAAAAAACTAATTAATGCAAACCCTCAGCTTCTTGCTCTCAAAACCACGCAGCTTTGGGAAGGTAACAAGACCAGCATCTCCCCACTGCCTCCCCAGTTCTCTGTGCCTGCGGTACCAGGACACGGCAGCGCTCACATACAGATCTTGCATGCTACCACTGAACAAGGAGTTGGGCTTGATTGAAGCCAGCTACAAAAGCACCAAGCCTCCCCATCTGATCTTTTAAAAATCTATACAAAATCTACACTACAGCAGGTATCAATGAATCATCGATGAATCAAAGTGCACACTACCCTAACTGCAGATGTAATTGCAACCAACTTACTGGTGGATACTCAAGAGAGTCTTTGCCTTTACTGTATTCCAGTGCTTTCCCAAACACAGGCCAATTTTTTCAACACTTTTTCCCTAGTGCTAACTGCTCAAAGAAAGCATTGCCCATCTTCTTTCCACTGACCCCAGAGGAGTCTCCCAGAGTCTGAAAGGGGACAGCCAGCAACCCTTTTCTCTGGTTCAGGCATGTGTCTTTCTGGAGGCCCATGCAAGCCTAGCGACCTTCAGGCCCAGTACCTTCCCATTTGCACATCCTTCTTAAAAGACTTTGCCTGCATCAGCAGAAATCACAACCAGATTTTTTTGTTTGTTTGTTTTGGTGGCATTCTGTAGAAGCAACCCCCATTTTCTTAATTTCCAAGCACATCCTGATGCAGAACATGGCCAGCCGCCTCCTAAACCAACCTTCATTGGCTGCAGACAATCAGCCATATGGAATAAAAGTGATGCCCTCCAGCATCTCACTGTTTTGCCCCTGCACAAAGTCCTTTGATTTCACCAAGAATGAGAAAGTGAGAAAGATCTGGAGGAAGGCAGCGGTTCATTTGCCTGAGTTTCCTCTACATCAGGATGAAGCAAGAAGGGGGGGAGGAACCCAACGACATTAAGAACAATGTTGGGAATAGGTCTTTAAATCTGTCTCTCCAAAGCCCGTATATTCCCAGCCTTGATAGCTCTCGCATTACACAGGATGACATTTCTCTCCATATTGTATTATAATTAATAGGCTACTGCAAGACTTTACCAGCTCCTACTTAATAGCTTTTCAGTGCTGGGAAGCAGTCATCAGGTAATCTGGCCATGATCTACTGTATCCTTTCTAAACACAGGTTCTAGCTGCCAAGAATGTCACCATAAAAAGATTTCGATCAATACCACTCAGCTCTTACTTTCAAATGCTCCAGGTCTAGGAAGAGAAGAAAGAAAAAAACCCCAGTACCCTCAAAACGAACAGCAAACTGGCATATGCATCGAGTATGCAGATTGAAGCGAGCAGATGGGAATTCATTATGGCCTGATCTTGCACTCTCTTTTATACTTTAGTAACTTTATAATTTGGAAAAGGCCTCACCAAGCGCATGTGGATTGTGTGCACAGAGGGGGTTAAAGCCCATGCAGATCTCTCCATTCTCATGCTGCGCTCTTGTTGCCAAACAACAACATTTCAATTGTGATTGGTACAAACAGTTGGGTTTCAATGGCAATCTGTCACGTAGGTTTAAGCCCAGTTTTTACTGATGCAACCTGCAGCTTGCTGGGAGGTTGCTGGCTTTGTTATTTACTGGGAGAGGAAGAAAGGAAACAAAACAGATTGGTGGGTTTTTTCCTTGTCCAGTTTGTAGTTCAAGGACTCGCTCTGGAGTTGGTTTTTCCATTTGTTTTCCCTAGAGTGAAATTAATAAATTCGGAATAAAAATGAAATCTGCAAACACAAATCAAAGCGCGGCACCCACATCTCCACGTATCACTCTCTAAAGAAGTAGGGAAGGTCACATGCGATCCACTCCTTGGCAGGGCTTCTGTACTCTCCAAGAGCAAAGGCTATCCAGCAAAACCCGCAGACACTTCCACCCCTACATTAAAGCAGAATTGGTGCCTTAACACCAAAAGGAAGTCACTGGGTTCAGCAAATCAGCAAAGAAGATGTCAATAAGAGAAAATACAGTCAAGGCTCAGATCCTGATGTAGCTGAAGTAGTTGGGGTAGTACCGTTAAATTCAGTGGAGCTGAAAGAATTAATGCTGGCCAAGGATCAGGCTCCTAGCGTTTTCCCAGCTTAAGTCTTAGTTTAGGCTGATGCCAAGAGGTTAACACTGTGATAACAGAATGAAAAAGTATATAGGTGTATATATAGAGGTATAATTATATTTCAAGAACACTTTGCTACTAGTACTTTTGTCAATTTAAAGTCCGTAATTTTAAAACAAAATTATTTCAGAAGAGCAGCAGAACCTCTTGAGTAAACTACAGACTCTCATCCACTCCTAGGCCACTCACCGTCCTAGAAGCAAGTTTAAATGTTATTTCTAAATGCTATTTCTTAAAACATAGGGTGCAACTAAATAAGGCTCCCGAGGGTCTCTAAGAAGCCAGTGAGTCAGCACACCGGCATGGAGTAACAGCAAATCAACAGTTCTAAAAAAGGTGCTTCATAAGTTAAGGAAAATAAAAACACAAAGCCTCAGACTTACCACAGGAGGCCCTCAGACTTACGAAACTAAACTGCTGTAACGTGGTACAGTGTTAAGACACACATGTTTTTTTGTTGTTTTTTGTTTTTACATTCTACAGGGGCAATACACACTGAACGCAGGAAAACAGCTCACCCTAGAAAGTAATTTTGAAAGGAATATCAGCTTTGATTCATGCTCCTAAATCCTTAGCAGTTTTGCTTTAAAACTAATTGTTCGTTCTGCAGAATAAACCTCCCCACCTTCTCCTCCAGCCACCGAAACCCCACACCGTACCTACACGTCTGGAAAAAGGCTCTTTTCTGAAATGTTTCTACCTATTTGTCTGAAACTGTAAGTGAGCGGCATCTCATCGTGACTTTAAAGCACCTAGCAGGGTTGAGCGATATCCCAGAACAGGACGCGACGTACAGCTGACGGAGACAGAAATGGACTGCCTTTCAATTCCCACAGAAAGCGGGGCGGGTCACTCACCAAAAAGCGATGGCAACAACAAACCCCTCTTTGATCCCTTCCCTTCCTTCTTTCCATTCTTAAGCTGGGCAAAGCAAATGAGGTTGGGTCCACATAAAATAAGGTTAATAATAATAATTAAACAACAGCAACAACAACAACAGCAACAACAACAAAATAGGCGTCTCAATGTCTTGAGGAAAAGTGGGATTGTAAGTGCAGTATTTCTTCATGTGCAGTTCTTCTACTTCATACGAGTCCCCTTTGGATGAGAAGGCCTAGTGGAATGTGTGCTCTCCTCGGACTATGTGCGACGAGAACTCATAGCGGTCCTGGCTTCGGTAGCCACAGATGTTGCACTCTAGCGGGTCCCGGTAGCCGTGGCAGCCCATGTGGATGGTGTACATGACATGGTCCAGGAAAAGGACGCGACAGTGCTCGCACTTGAAAGCCCTAATTTGCTCCCCTTCTCCGTTGATGACCTTGTAGATATCCTTTAAAGAGCCCTTAGAAGCTTTTGTGGCATCCAAAGCCTTGGCGTCCTCCTTCATATAAGCTGGGCTTGGCTTTCTCTTGGGATTTAAGGCAGAGTTTCCTTGGTAGGACTGGCGGTCTTCGTGGCTGCTCTCTGAGTCAGTAGAATCCAGGCAGCTATTGCTGGGGGAGCCCTCTCTATCCTGGGTTCGACTCTTTGGTCTGATGAGGGAGATCGGGCCATCCATGTTGTTCTCGTGACTGTCAGGGGTTTCCCTGCTAATGGGCCTTTCTATCCTGTTCGGATGATAGACCTGAGCGTAAGCTGAGCTGATGACCGGGGCCACCTCTGCAATTGTGCTTGGTGTGTGCTGCATCAGGGGGTGAAGTGCCTCAGCTCCAAGGTAGGTGATTGCATTGTTGATGGCTTGGTCCATCATGTGAGACTGCATCAGCTCAGCCTCCTTCTCATAGGTTAGGTTCATGTCAAAGGGAATATCTGGATAGCCAAACCTCATGAGCTTTTCACCTAAGGGACAAGAGCAAATTAATGAGAAAAATCAACGTAATCACTCCAAGGTTTCACTGTAAAAGGGATGGGGAGGGATGGAAAATCCCTGACTTGAGGAGAAATTAATTCCAGAGTCCAAAGTTAGCCTCCTCCTACTTGTTTACTGACCTCCTGCAAAGATTTTGTCCTGGGATGGGTAAAACAGCCACCGCACCAGCAGCTTTTTATTTGTTTACTCCAGGTGAAACATGCAGCTGTAGCAACCTCCAGACTGAATCCAACCCTTCTGCTGGACCTGACTGTGCCCATGCTTCCAGTTAGGAAATACAAGTTAACTGGTAGAAAATGGGACTGAAATACCGAGGTCAAATGAAACTCCATCAGTTTATACCATCAGACATACTCTCTCAAAATTAAGAGACAGTACCACACATCCCCTGCACTCTGAGGTGACTTATACATACCTTACAACAGGGCTGCGTAGCAAGAAACCTAAGCAACAGGTACAGGGGAATGGTAGTGTCACCTTTACAATATGTAAATCCTTCAACCAGCAGAAAAAAAACAGAATAACTGCACGTAGCCACAGAACGGAGCAGGTACCAAGAGCACTGGGAACGACCTACCATCTTGCATTCAGGCTATCTTTGTAATTCAACCCCTCAATAAAAAAGGCCTATCCCCATGTTTTGGGTTGAAAAGACGACACACACATACACCAGTGTCTATTTAGGCAAGAACAAAATAGAGAAACCGCACGTACAGCTTAGTGTCATTTGGTAAAAGGCAAAAGCAACGTTCATCAACGTAGGATAAATAAATACATAATGATGATGAAGCTGGCTGAATCATCACTATGTGAATCCAAATTCACATCCTCATAACCTTTTTAAATCAATAGCATCACAGATATGCGAAACCAGAACCACATGCTGGTAAGTTATGCTAGTCACAGGGCACGTTACAAATCACAGCTCTCCTTTGAAGTTAAAAAATTTACCACTACTTACATCAGGGCTCAGCTCAGCAGCACTGCTTTCCCAGTGATGGCTTTAGTGTCAGTACAAGCAAAGTTCGTATAATAACTCTTCTTTTTAAATAGAATAGGTTACACACACTGTACACATGCTTACGTGTTCACACAGACAAATATTAGCTACTTGTTGACAGTTAACTTTTTAAGCTGAGTTTGCAAAGTCTGATAAATAATTTTGGTTGGTTTTCATTGTCTTTGTTACTTTTCACTGCCCTGGTACACATAACCAGACTTGAATAGCGTAAGATAATAAATTCAAGGAATCACTACATACAACTGGTTTGGCTATCCAAGAATTAAAAACTTGAGAATCTTCTATCACCCTTTGCCAGAATTGCTTAGAACAAAATATGTATAACCCACCATAAGAAAGAAACAGAACTGTAATCCCAAATCTCTTCCAAATAGCATTAGTACATTTCAACATAGCTATCACTCAGTATTTTATTTTTGACTATAATAATTCATTCCACTTAGTGCAGCTTATCTTAAAGTGATGCCTAAAGAGAGAAATAATTTTGCATTACCCATGGAACAATCAGGTTATCCTTGGAGATGATGCAGCACTTTTGGTTGGGAACTTAGCCCTGATGAGCAAGGTAATTAAATGCACGCCTGAAGTGAAGCACGTGAATATTCCCACTCACTTCAGCAGTACTGCTCACACTGATTAGACACCACGTTCATGCACCTCACCGCGTTTCCCTAAATTACACTTACAGCTTATCAGAAGAAAGCAGAATGTACAAAACTGTTCCTCGGTTACACATTAGACATTTGGAAAAAAAATAGGGAAGGAAGAAGCCAACGGTGCTATGACAATGACCTTTGTAATCTAACATGACCTAAGGATGATTCTTGCCATCAAACATCCTCTTTTGAGTGTTTCTGCTGTGGACTGGCAATCTTGCTGTCCGTGACAGCTGTCCTGTCACTGATAGGATGGACAACTCTCTAATGGGACATGGCTCCAGCCTGACTTGAGTTGCTCCTTCCTGGGTGGGCCAAAGTGGGGCTGGAGGAGAGCTCCAGGAGGCATGTGGTGGCTTTGGCACAGTGAAAAGAAATGAAAATGGAAGAGTCCATTGGTACCCGTCACCTGCTCTGGCCACCTGTGTCTGAATAAAGAATTGACTGTGGTGAGAGTCTGATCCAGCCTCCAAACACACTGTCAGTCCATTGGTTCCTGTCACCTGCTCTGGCCACCTGTATCATTCCTGTGTCTGAATAAAGAATTGACTGTGGTGAGAGTCTGATCCAGCCTCCAAACACACTGTCAGTCCTTCGTAGGCTATACAGATCGATAAAACACACCTATCCTTTAACGACTGCTGGGATGAATGACGCAAACCTTATTTTGAGTCCTTTTATCTTCCACATTTAGTTACTCCACCACAGACAGCAGAGTAGAGAAAACTAAATTGTCACTGACCTGAATTATTCATTCCTTTAATTATGAACTGGTTCCAAAGATGTCAGAGCCTTAGAAGTGGAGCGTGACATAAAAAAGTAAAATAAATGATAACGTGGGGAGGAGAGGGTGTAAAACACCAAGCTCAGAAGAAACATTAACAAACCAGTCCAACATGGATTTCAATTTTATTTCCTCTTTAGCCAAATATGTACTTAAACCTAAATAATCAGATTAATAATTTTGAATTTTTCACATAAAATTATGCTCAAATTCTATTTGTTCTTGTCCTACATTAGTGAAATAGAAAAAACATTCTCCACTGTGGTCATCTTACTGTACAACATTCCAAAAAGCTTCAAAACGGGAAGCTGAAGCTAGATGAAAGCACACAGACACAGCTGTCCTGTGACACTTGACAAGATGGACTACAGGTATCTAAAGCAACCGCAGTGCGGATGCTTGGGAGAAAGCTGCAAGAAACCTTGGAGAAAGCAGTTGCAGAGTTCACCACTGGGTAAATGTCTTTCCAACCCCCATTAACTAGAAGCTGACTCTAATTTTGAAGCTGGTTGATCTTCATCTGGTCTGAGACATATGTGTATTTTTAATTCTTACCGTAACAAACCTGGTCTTATTGTAAGCCAAATGTCTCCTTTTGTATCCTGCCAGTTGTTAACCTCTGTGACACTCAGAGTATGCACCACACACAAACCGAAAACATGTGGATTTGTTTCACACCATCAGCTTGAAGATTGTTGTTTCTCCCTTCACTAGTGTCTGCTTCTCCCCTCACCAAAGGGAAGGCAAAAAGTACTCAGACTCCTGTGCACCGTAAGTTCTTCTGCCTCCACTACTTCAACAGGTTTGCTAAGGCTAGTACCTCAATAGCAGATACATAACTAAGTCTCTCACTCCAAAATCAACTCTATTTGCTGCATGCTGCTTCCTTTCCTCCTGAAATTTCAGCCAGAGACTGTGGTTCGTAACCAAGGTCCCTTGGAGATTGCTGATCAGAAAGGGCAGTAAAGCATTGATAGATGTAGCATGCAAAGATTTTTAGCTTATGCTTACATGACCTTCTCATAAACACCATTAAGTTGTTTTGGACAGGTGCCACACTTGCAGTATGCACAGGAAAATTTCCTGCAAGCAAGAGAACCATTACAAGTTCTTCCTGATAGAGTTGAACAATATTTCATCGGGGAGAAAACGGGAAGAAAAGTGAGGTCATGGTGAAAAAAAGGTAGCAAAGCAGAGGCTGCTGCTTTTCAGTTCAGTGTGATGCCATGAAACATCAGAAAAGGCAGAAAAATATGATACAGTAAATACAAAAGACACATTTTTTCCATACAGCTGGCTCTGGATAAAAAGCTGCACGTCACATGAAACCCCATAAAAATGGAATACCAAAATGATCTGTTGCACCTATAGAAGAAACAGATTTATCTAAGGACAAAGTAGCATACCCTACTGAAGAGAAGAAGAATCTGCTACAGCATCTCCCAGGCAAGGATTTCCAATCAGGAAATTTGCCTTTGACAACAGTAACAACACCTGGACGAGTAAAATAACCTTCAAAGCTATCCAGCCCCTCCAAAGATAACTTCTGAGAGGTTCTGCAAGCACAATTCTGGTCAAGTCTGTGGACAACCTGGGAGTAAAAAGAGCGAGAGGTGTGAACAGCCCTTCTTCCTTTTGAGGCTGTAATGTGTCTGAGGTATAGACACACCAGCCTAACTGTCAGCATGGTTAACTATTTCACTGTTGATCACAACCTGCAGGAACATACAGCACTTGCTGAGACAATGCTAGGGAAACCTGCCATGATGAATTTGTGTTTACAATCTCATAAAGCTGTATTTGGCTTGTCAGTACAGAATCCTGCTCCCATTTCCACCCTCTTCAACCCCAACTGTTGTCACAGCAATAAATTAAATCAGAGTATAAATCCCCCAGTTCTTACCAGCTATACAGTAACTCACCGCAGAGCGCTCAGAGAGACAACAGTCTAAGAATTAGGCTTTTATCTCAGAAGGAGTAAGAACAATACAGGAAATACTGATTACTCCCAGCATTCCTCCTGTGGGTTGGATTATTCCTGACCTAACCTTGGCTTGGCACTGATATTTGGGAATGGTCAGATGACTGAGAGCAGCCAGGTCAGTGTGTCAGTGCCACCCAGGTGAGCTGCTGCATGCTGCTAGCCCCCTACTATTCAAAAGCATGTGGGTTAGCTTAAAACCACCTTCAGTGGTGATTTAACAAATCCATCTGAATCTGCCTGTAGCTGAGGGGCAATGACTTTTCTAAATAGCTGCATTAATTGCTTACAATTCTCTGATCCTCTCTCCAGAAGTGTAGGCAGAATGAGTAGATGACACCCTTAAAATCTGTAAGACTGTCCTTCCAGGGAGCAAGTGTGGAAAATGCATATTACATGACACTGGAGTCTAGCAGCATACATTTGCCCCAAATAATTCTCTGCCCTGGCTGCCTCTTAAGTTTAGTATTGCCTCACTAGCAATAAAAGGAACCTTCAAGCTACAGCTCAAACCAAGTAAAATTCCCCATACTGTCTCCTGTTACAAGCCAAACAATTTTAAGATGTCAAGATAGAAAGCAAAATATGAATTCTGGGCCTAGGATTCTAAATTTGATAACCAAAAGTCATCCAATGCTGTTTTATATTCATGTATTAATAAGTTTGTTGTGTGCAGAACACTGCACTTGGACCAGGCACTTCTTCCAACAGAAGCGATGTGATTTTACTTCCTCATGCCGGTATTATCAGACCAGCTGTTGCCAATTCTCAAGAATTTAATACAATATGAGATACTTGGTGGGTTTTTTTAACACGCACACATATGGAGACAGATAATTATATGCAAGTCTTAAGTTTTTATTTGCTGGGGCAAAGAGAGGGAAGGATAAGTCTAAATCTCAAAATGGCCAGAGAAAACTAAAGAACACCACAACAGCCATAAGGCACAGTAAAAAGCTTAAGATTTTCTAAGCCGTTTTGATGATTTTGGGGACCTCGCTTTTGAATTCTCTGGTGTGGTATAATTAATTCAATAATTTTCAGCATTTCTTGGTGTGATTTAACCATCACCAATGCTGTCCCACCCCATCACGACCAAGTTCTGAGCACGCTACTTTTCCCCTTGCTCTTTTGGCTGTTACAGATTACAGTAATCTATTCCTACACACTAAAAATAGTAAAAGGCGTATTTCAAGCTTACCCACAAACTTCTGTGGGGTGGAGCTTTTACGCTTTCCCATGTTGCTTGTCAGCTTCTCTATTACAGCAGGTCTCTCAAAAGGCACCAGAGAAATATTGTTGTCCATCACAGGCTCTTGTTCCTTACAATCTTCCATAGGAGGTACTACACAAAACCAAAACATTGTATCAGACAGGTCTGGTCTACACTTCACAGACAACACAGATCATTTGAGCCCTGCTGATTGAGCAACAGGTGCAACACAAAATAAAGCAGGGTGCAAGAACACACTGGGCATCAAGACAGCATTCACTTTGAAACAGAGCCATGTTTACAAAACGCCTCTGGGACCACCTTATTTAGCAGAAGCCCAACTCCAAGCATTTATTAAAGCACCTGTTCTGAATACTGAAGATCCCCAGCGAGGAGGGGACACTTGTGTAAACTCACCCTGTATATGACATTTTCTGTTACTGTCCCTTCAATATGGTCACCTGCTGCCAATGTGACTTTTTGGTTATCATTCTTTGTGTATTCCCTTAACTTCACGCTGATCATCTGGCATGCTTACCGTTCTTCCTTTCTTTTGGCACTAATCTCAGTGACTATAAAACATACAAGACATTGATGACTTGTGTTTCCTGGACTGGGCAGTGCATTCCCCAGGACAAAGGCATCCGGAACGAAGGATGTGTTTGTTAGAAGTGTTCCCTCTGTCTATACATGAGATTGTAAAATCAACAAACAGTGTACTGGAATTACAGGATTAACATCATATGGAAATTCCCTTCAGAATCATTCACAGAAACTGTAGTTTTTTTGATTAATATTTTAGTTTCCCTTCAAACACAGTCCTAACAACCAGTGATTGCGAGTCTTCTGCATCTGTCTTCCCAGTTTTTGGGATCAGCCGGGAGCATCCCTGTGCTAACTACATTAGGGGAATGCATATACACTGTCTTAGAGACAGTAACAAGAAATTAATGACTCCTATATTTACTCATTTCACTCTGTCGCTTGTTGGGTTAGAGAATAAGATGCTAGAGCAGTACAGGAGTTGCTACCAACTGACTTGTGCAGGGGTCTATATTACTTGCTGACATAGATGATCCCTAAATCCCTACAGAGTAGTCTGTTGAGCATCCTCTTATAAACACCAAGAAGGGTCAGTGGTGCCATGCTGATCAGGCTCAGAGAGTCCAGTTCATTAGCAATGTATGTTAAAAGTGTGATTCCACATGTAGCTCTTCCCATTGCTCTGCTACCATGAATTTAATGCATGGCCTAATTGTCCCGCATTCATCTTCAGAAGGTAGCGAGAGAAACCTGGGAAGGATCAGCCACCAGTCTGTGTGCTAATGGGATGGCTGAGGTGTAAGAAGTTATTTGAGGAGAAAAATGGATGGCAGAGAAACTGGGACGATCTTGCAAAGAGTTCCTACAATTTGTAAACTGTCAGCAACCCATTGCATTCTCTGTATCAGATAAAACTCCCAGAAGAGTCACGGGTAGTATTGCAGAGGTAGCAGAGGAGGACTGAACTCCACATCTTCTGCTGGTCCTCCTCTGGTCTCTCACTGTAGCAGCCTTTCATGTGACAGATACCTTCTCCCTGTGACTGTGCCATAAATGAACACCCCCAGCCTAATTTCCCCCCATGTAGCTTTACTACCTTCAGGATCCTAATATGGAATAATCACCCCCCTGTTCTTAAACACACAGCTGTTTGCTAGCACATAATATATGAAAAATGGGGTGATAAAAGCCTTGTCTTTGCCTTCTTTCTAGTAAGGAAGAACAAATACCAGGCAATTACAAAACAGAGTATCTGCTCAGGTGAACTTCTCAATTCAGACATTCATAATAAGAAAACATGGCAATTTATTCATTTGATTCCATTTGTGCCTCTGCTGCTATGGAAAGCCGAGTACTTTGAGGCTCAGAATCCACCATATGCTATAAAATGATTTACTCTGCTGCTTTTTTATTTGTACAGGATGCTCCCCCTGAGAAACACAATGGTTTCTCATTTACAAGGCAGTCCTGCTGGCATAACTGAAAGAGAGGAAGAAAAAGCATAAATATGAAATGAATCTAATGTTGCAACAAAATTGGATGCAGTGTTTGAGTGACCTAATTAATGCCCAGTGCAGACTGGGAAGTCTGGAACACTTGAATAGCTAAAGCTAAATTTTGAAGGTTATTTAAATACTGTGCTTGGGCAGGAGCTACCTGCACTAGTTCTACTCAAGTAGTTACCCAGGAGATTCTGGAAGAAAGGAAAGATTACATCTATTGATTTTCACTGGGAACTGGCGTCTGACTGTCCTTTTGGCTTACCAAAAATCAGTGTGTGCATGCACACGCATGCTGCATGAAACCCTGGATGGCTGCTCAGTGGCAATACCCACTCCTCACTGCGATGGGCCAGGTTTGCATGCGAGTGCCACCTCAAGAATTTCCAGCCCTTGGTGTACAGGATACATGAGGCTGGTGGTGGAGACCTAGGCAAGTGCAGAGGGCTCTAAATCCCTCCTAGGAAGACCTGCTAAAGGTATGCTGGCTTTGTAGGACTATACTTGCCCACTAAGTCAGCTGAAAACCTGATTACTTTCACAGCCATCTGATTAAGCCCCAAGTGTAGTGACATTTGTATGTCTTATAACAATTAAGTAATAATTAAATAAATCTACTGTTGGGCATATGTGTGTAAAATTTCCTAGATGGAATTTGAAACCTTTCTTCCATGAAAAATGAATAGTGCTAAAAAAGACATCTGCTCTTCTTTAAGGCAGGCAAAAATTCTGCTTGGACTCCTTTTAGAAGTAAAATCATCACCCATAAAAGCATTTTCTTTTCTTTCATGCTGCAAGCTTGTTTCCCCACTTCAGAACTCAACTCTAAAATCCAGAGCATGGCTCTTGTGCAACAGAAACACTGAGTAACACTAATATTTGTGTTGCGATGTGAATAAGTTACTGGAATGTGTTTTGTTATGTAGATTTCCTGGGAGAAGGGAGAGATAGAAATAGCCTAGTTTCTGAAACCATTTAAATTGCATGCAAAACCGGACCAAAAACAGGTGAGATGTCACATTTTACAAACCCAAAGAATTAAGCTAAAGATCACACTGTCAATTCTAGATATATTAATTTTCATTTCCATTTAAAAAACATACAAATAAAGGACAAATAACCCAGTGCACGTCATTTTCCTTTTGAGGAAAAAAAATAAAGTGGAAAAGTGAGCCAATCAGACCCAACCAACAGTTGTCACAAATCAGCTGCTCGGCAGTGGAAGCTCATGCATACACCTTTACTCTGCGGTAAACGCAATTCCTTCTTCGTATTTCATTGTGCTTCATTCCCTTGGTAGTGGGAGGTACCAAAGAACAGCTGACGTGTTACAAATAGCTTTGATACAGCAACTTATTGTAGGCTGTGAACCTACGGTCTCAGCTCAGGAAGGCTTTAATCTTAAGAGCTCACATTTTAGTGTGTTTCTGTTCAGGGAAGACCCTAATCAGCTCCCAGGTTGAGCTCCCGGATTGCCTGTGCAAACGTTCACTGCCTCGGACACCGTTAGTGTCCCTCAGCTGCAGTTAACGCCAGCTGTTGTTTCTAAGCCCAAACTCTCAAGGATGGTCTCCAGAATAAAGACTATTTTCCTGAAGACATTGGTCTTTCAATCATAGTGCTCAAAGCGACTTTCAGTGTTTGCTTCTTACTTTGTAAGAAGTCACATGCACTGATAAAAAAAGTTTATGCTGTTCCAGTGAGGAAAGAATAGGGGTGAAAAAAGAAGTAAAAAAATTACTCAGTGTGTGCTTTGCTAATAAATACTTTTGTGTGCAGAAAACAGACACTGGACTAAGTCTCAGCTGGTATAAATTATTATTACTCCATCAACCTCAATTTCCTTTCCTAAGCTCACAATATTGCTATTTTAAAAAAGTGTGTGTGTGCAGAGAAATGACAGGAAATAGTCCCATGGACCCTGGTGTGAAGTCTCCTGTGGGACCAGCATTTTCATGATGTTTTAAGCAACTATGTAAGAAGGAAGGACTAAAGGCCATTGTGTGTTTTATGTGGAGCTGGCCTTGGAGCCTTGCACAGCCTAGGGCTAGGCTTCTTCCTCCTTCTGAAGAGTATCCTTCACTACACTTTAAGAATTTCTCTGGACATTTTCCTTTGGAGATGGAGAACATATAACCGGGTGTAATCCATTTAACATTTCTCCCTGGTTGTTCCTGCAAAGGCCATATTCTTGGCATTCAGAGATGTCACTTTGGTCACCCCCAACACACCACTGGCTAAGAGACCACAGACTAATTTCTACCTCCTGGGCCAGTACTGCTTAGCCAAAAATTGCCAACAACAAAGTCACAGGAGTTCTCTTCCCATTGTGCCAAGCAGGGAACAAGACCTAGCCACAAGGAGGGGCAGCTCAGCAAGCAACCGGCACCCTTCAAGAAGATGGAGAGAGACACAGAGACTTGTCGGTTCCTCCTCACACACCAAAACCAGCCCTCCTTCCCCTCCTCTGAAACCAACCCTCCTTCCCCTCCTCTCACTTCCCCTTGTGGGTTTAGTCAGGTGATCTAGCCATCTGCAAGACAAAGATAATTGAAATTAAAGGCCTCATCAGGCCAGGCAAAAGCACCCAAGTAGATGTCTGTAGCACACCTATAAACTGATCAACTCAAGCACAATGCTTGAAACAAATCCAAACTCTCTACGGGCTGCCTCCAGTTTTCTGGAGCAGTTAATCTCTGCAGAAATAATCTGGACTGATGGTAAACGTTGACCATAGTGGTTGAGACCCAGCACAGCCACCTGCTGCCTTAAAAGCAGGATGCTGTTGGGATAAGAAATTCTCCACCCCTACCTGTTCTGTTCATAACAATGAAGTGACCAAAAGTCACACCCAAACGCATTCAGAGGCTTCAAAACACTCAGCAAGAACTAAACACTTATGAAGTATTTGGAAAGAGAGTCAAGAAAACTTAACCTCAGTGTGATGCAAAATAAACCTATGACTGACATCTCCAAAGCATGCACTCATCCTCAGGAACACCCTTCCCATGTGTGACATGGGAAACAAGGAAATTCATACATTTTTCAGGGTTAGACTATGACCTAACTTAAGCTGAGTAACCCTTTGTATACTCCTTCCCAGGTGTCTTTATAGTCCCAGGAGAAAGGGATTTGCAGCAGGCCTCTACAGGCTGGTGCTCATGACCCTCGATCCCATGCTGAGCCTCAGGTGGGAGTGATGCTGGGACACCAGGTGAGATTTATTGCTGGTCCCAGCTGAATTGGGAGCTCCCTGTCACTGTCTGGCCTCATTATGCCCTCAGTGAACAGCACAACAGAGACAGTGAATCAAACCTCCCTTAAACATTCACCAGGGGAGATTTAGGCATATTTGGCCCAAGGAGAAAGAGGTACTAGTTGAATTCAAAGTGCTGTTTTAAGGTAATTTTGTTGAGAAGGGTAAAGTGGCTGTGTGAACATTTCAGCAAAGTCAGTCAGGCTGCAAATAAAAGAACTGTCCACATGGGGTTTACACTGGTTTAACTTTGGTTGGTAGAAAAAAAAAAAAATCAGTGTAAGGTCAACTGTTCCAGCTTCTTTGGGCAGACAAGGTTAAGGACTTACCCTTAACATTAACTCATAACATTAAGCAGCAGAAAAAGCTTTTAGATTTCCTCAAAAGTACACTATCAATGAGAGTAAACCCAATTTTAATCAATAACTGAATAACAAACCTGAAAGTTGCGTGGAATTTGGGAAGGTTCAGCTGTGGAATCCACAACATCAGAAGGATATAGACTGATTGGAACAAGTCCAGAGGAGGCCATGAAGATGCTCCGCGGGATCAAGCACCTCTGCTATGATGAAAGGCTGAGAGAATTGTGCTTCCCATCCCTGGAAGTGTTCAAGGCCAGGCTGGATGAGGCTTTTAGCAACCTGGTCTAGTGGAAGGTGTCCCTGGCCATGGCAGGGGGGTTGGACCCAGACAAGCTTTAAGGTCCCTTCCAACTCAAACCACTCTATGATTCTACGATTCTACAACATGATCTCTGAAACATCCTGGGTGTCATAACTACATCAGCCTACCACAACTGCCCCAAGGAAAGGCTGACTGAAATCACCACCTCGCTGGTTAAGCAGAGGTGCACACCCTTATAGAGTGAAGTGCCTGGATTTTGTTGGGGATGGAGTTGGTGGTTAAACTTCTACTACCAACTAAGTGCTCCAGCTAACAGACCAAGCGCACGACAGATACCTGCAAATAGCAAAGCCCCAAAATCGGTCTTTCCACCGACTTTTACAAGCATTAAGGCCAGGCCTAAAGCAGATAATCACTAACTTCAATGTCTTCAAAGTCATCCATTACATTTTAAATGTTGATTTTAATCTCCAGGGTGTCTACAAAGATAGTAATTACTTAATAGAGCACTGAGTATTTTGGCAATATGTTAGATACATACAGAATGCCCTTATAGGATTAAATTGTTCATGGACGAATACGTCTTAATGTTTGGGTGATTATTTTTTTTTTTAAACCAAAAAATTGCCCATATTTGAAATGCTGAATAGATTTTATTTCAGCTTGTATTTTTAGGTTTTTAGAAAGGGCCTTTCAGAACTTTTACATAATTAATTTCCAGAAGAAGCCGTATGACTCCAGTCAACAATGAGAAGTAAAATAGTGGGGGGGGAAGGAAGAGGAAACATTCTTTTGCCTTTTCATTTATTCTTAGGTATATGGTAATTTTTAATCAATATGGAAAACGTATAATTTTTATATTTTCTGATTAGTAAGAACTTTTAAATAATTCAGCTAGCAAACATTTAAAGACAACTTTTAAAAGTTAAAAGACGTTCAGTTTTCAAAGTTTCCAAGACAGTAGTTTTTAGTGAAATTATAACGATTTTTGGACAGCTACCATTCAGCATTTAGTGCTACAGATAAGCCTACAACCCTGAAGTCGGAGACATTACACTCACTGTCTATACCAATAGCTACAGGAATTTTTGAAAGCAAATTCATGGAGTTTGACATTTCTTGCTTTCAACAATCTTTTTTGGCAATCTTCAGCCTTTTTGTATATTAACACATGTGGTGTTAGTTAACATTAATACTAACACATGTAAATGCATATAAACACTTTTTTTGGTTACAATTCATTTCATCAACACTGTTGAATGCCATTCTGCTCTGGAGATTTTTGCATTCCTCCCTCCCTTTTTTGGGAATATAAGATGATATTACAGGGGGTAGTAATGACTATAGTCATAATAAAAATAATGACTTCTGAATACCTCCACCACTCTTATCTCTTATAATTATCAGTCACATCCAGAAAGGAAGGGGAGGGGAATCATACATTTTATACATGGCTTAGTTCATTTTTGGGGTAGCTTCACTTTAATTTCATGTCCACATATTTATACATAGTAAAAAGTGAAATACTGACTTAAAAAAAAAATCAGCAAACCCAGTGCTGTTAAATTGGACGGAGTGAGGATTATAGCCCATCTATTCTCTTCCTGCCTATCTGAGTATAAGCAATCTATACAATGGAAATGATGCAAAGCTGAAAGGAAGGGAGAAAAACAGATGGGAAAAAACAAAAACCCGCAAGAGATGCTCCAAGTCCAAGAGACCTCAATAGGCGGTTTCCACCCACCATGGTGACTCATGACCTGCCCAGCAGCCTCCATACTGACATTCTGCAGATAGTTGTGGCAGCGTTCCTTGTGCTCCTCCAGCGAACTGCGCTGCTTGTAGCTCCGGCCGCAGTAGTTGCACTTGTGAGGCTTCCCCACTGCAGAAAGAACAAGAGCATTAGGTCAAATCCACTGCAACCCACTTTTTGCTATCAAAAACTCACACCTTCGCAGCAAACTCTTGCCATGGAAAGACACCTAAAAAAGGTTACTCAACTCCCAGACCTTTTTCCTGGCCCCATTTTCCCACCGCACACACCTCCTCCCACCCGCCGGGTACTTGGCCCCATCCGTTTTTCACACAAAGTATCAGCAGAAGGAAAAAGAGGCAGACTTGTTGGTCGCAAAGCAAATAAACAGACGACAAGCGGGGAAAACAAACCAACCAGCTGAATCACACGCCAGCGCTGCCTGCGTGTCACCGAGTCTCGTGGGAAAGAAACTGCTGAGACATTTTGCCCGTGCTACAAACGCTTGCCTTCACAAAAAATGGGCTGCCCCAGTGGCCTAATTCTGCTCCCAACGGTGGGGAAACCCATTACGCGGCTCAGAGGAGTTGTCCTTTCGCAGAGACAACTTTGCCAAAATTACCAAGGGAAGGTTGGTAAGAACAGAACAGTAACAGACAAGAGAGTAACTTTGGTAACAGCATTGTCACATGCCAGAGCTGTGCTGCCACGAGTAACTCACAGAGACGGGATAATATTAAAATATATATACTATAAATACATATATAAAAAAAATAAGAAGCCACGTACAATGAAAATCAAGACAGATGAATGCAAGAATAACTCCAATTTTTAAGGTTTTTTGTTTCACTCAGCAGCACTGTAAACAAATGGCAAACGTCTCTTAATACATGCAAAACCTGGCACCAGATTCTCATAAAGCATATCCCTTTTGTAGCATGTCATTAAGAAACCACAAGAATAGCCTAACCCAAGGCCAGAAAGCTATCCAGAAGTGCATTTTGCCAAGCCGTGCTAATAAAGGTTTTTAATATAATTTAAACTTGTAGAACATGAACATTTATTCTCTAATAACTAAAGAGCTATTAAGTCAGCACTGCAAGTCTAGTAAAACACCACCGGCTGCTATTTTCAGAGCTGGCTGGGGGATGGAGAAGGTCAAACTTCTTTCAGAGTTTTGAAAGTCTTAGGTGAGATTTTTAGTTTCCAGCCAAAGAAATATCCTCTCTTGGATAATACACATGTTTCTATTGGGTTTGTCCCAGTATTGAAAGTTTTTCACAGTCATTTACTTAATGAAATCCAAGCTGCACTAATTGCAGCCAAGATGCACTGTCACCACTGGGATGGGAAAATGCCGGAGGGAGGACACCCGTAGCCAACAAGAAACCAGGTGGTCAGCTTCCTCTCGCTTGGGCTGAAGCCCTAAACCTCAGAAAGACCCACCGAGGTCAGGGAAATTCTCTGAAAAGTCTCCACGGCAGGACTAGCAGGTACCACAGCGTGTGCCCCACATCACCTACGTGATGGCAGATGAAAAAGCCTCTGCTATCAGAGTCGGTCAAAACATTTCGAAAGTTTGTGCCTCAGAAAAAAGAAAGTTGGCAAAATGAACATGTTTGCAGAAAGTTTCTGGTTTTCTCAAGAACTTTGTTTGTACATGCAGTTCAGTGACACAACCAAGTTTTTCAAAAAAGCTGCTTTAAGTAAGCATCCAAACTGTGGATTTTTTTCTCTTTTTTTTTTAGCCATAAGGCTTATCTTACCTCAGAAAATTACTTGCTCTTCAACCAGACAGCTGCTGTGGTCTTCATTTTATTTCCCTCACTAGCTTACACTGTTGCCTTAACTGGCATTGGTACTGGGAATCTCAGTGGAGGACAAGTGTGAGGCTCATTATCATTCCCAGACTAATTGCCCTTGATGTGAACGATCTGGATCAAGCTTCAGCTCTTAAACATGAACCCGCCATCTCATTCTGGAAGCACCTTTAGGAAAACATACTGGCAGCTCCCTAGGATGGAAAGACTTTTATCACCACCATTACAGTGCTTTGTCATGCATCTAGATGGCATCAATGCCTGTCACTGACACCTTTATTAGAAGCTAACTTGGTGTCTAATCAAAAAAATCCAATGCAACTGAAGGGATTAAATGAAGCAACCTGAAGCAGGGCTGAATTAGCCCACCTGGTTTGGCTCCACCATGTTATCAAGGAACTTAGGTAAAGTGTAAAGATGCAAGGGAAAGGGAAGGCTGCTTTTTGCTGTTCCAGACGAAGCTACAGTTAAATATATTATCATTTAGCATAGAGAGAGAAACATATTCCCCTACAAGCATGCGGCACAAAATGATTGATTCAACTAAGAGAGGTGGTATTACACCTCTTCAGATGGTTGTTCCCTGCACTGACTGATGTTGTGATGGTTGTTCCCATCAACTATTCACACACAGGACTGAGCTTTTCCAATGATGGGTAACTATCCAGATTCCATCAAATTTCAAGGTTCATAGAGATGATAAAAGCTAATGATAAAGGCACGATTTCCACATGCTACAAGGGATTTGAGGAACAAACTCCACAAGGAAAGGAATACTCCAGCACACATGCTCCTTCTTCCGGGGAGAAGATAAGAGAATAAACAACATGTGACAAATGTTAGTCTTGTTGCCTAATACACAACTGGAAGCTGCTCAGACACAACTGTCAAGAAAGAAGTTGGTGAGCTCCAGTTGAGTAGACCTGAATACATCTCCCTTGGGTTCATTTCCAAATTCTGTCTCCTGGCCCCCTCACTCTACAGATGCGACCACATCATAGCCCCACACGTGTAAAACCTGATATACATTATAAAGTTACCCAAAGTGAGTGTGACTTGGGTTGCAGCACAATTGATTAGGCCAGACTACAGCTAAACTGGTTACAATAGCAGCAGTTTGTGTGACCAGTAATTCTCACAATCCATTTGGCAAGAGACACAGCCAGCCACAGCAGAAATTATGGTCTGGATTTTAGAGAACTTGTCACAAGAAATGTCACATTGTTGAAATAGCTGCAAATTTCCCCTTGTATTAAGTAACTCATAATAAAAAATACTTATATTTGTGGACATGAACATTTCCCAGTGGCTGTTCATTTTTCCATATTTCCTATTACCTAACAGAAAGATGTAAAAGTGTATTACAAAATTCCATCCTGGTGATGATCTCAGCAGCAGACTTTGCTCCAGATAACAAACCACCATACGAAGCCACTTGACTGCCAAGAGAGATTTCAACCTTTGTCAAATACTGTATAATAGGCAAACACAAATAGTCAAAATGAGCTCTAAAAATACATGGCTTGTGCTACTGGGCACAATGGGTCTTGGTCCATAGGCCATTGACTTGAAGGCAAAGAGTTCAACAGCTTACCAAAACCCCCTCCAAGCCCACAATGAGGGCAGTTCTTTCCATCATAGAGCCGTTTCCACCATGGAACCACTCAAAGTTTAGCTCAGCTTGCTTAGTAAGAAGCTGACTTCTCTGAGCTCCTTACTGAGGACTAAGATACAGGGAAACCACTTCGGTGCCGTACGTAACCACCACTGCCAACAGTAGCGGCACCCAAGCAATGATAGTTTGGAAATTCCTGGTTTGGGGTAATTATTCCTTTATCACCTTTTCAGGGTAAGCAATCAGATAAAAAATTACCATCACTCATTCTCATAGAAATGACACAATACAGTGAATGCAAACAAGCGCCAAATCTTAAGAAAGCTTCCATCAGTTGTTGAACTGGGAAAGACCAGGGCATGGGGCAAAACCCAACAGCCCAACCAATGAAATAGCTACCTTGAAAAATATAGAAAAAACCCACTTCATATTTCTTACAGAAAAGTCAGAATTTCCACGTGTTTAAGCTCAGATTTGTGTAGATGACAATGTGGCACAGAAAACCCACAGTGGAGTCTCAGCCTCAAATGGAAAATATTATGACAGTCACAGTGAAAAAGACATTTCAATTTGAAGTACAATTTTTACCATGAAACAGGTAAACCACTTGTTGAAATTCACAAAGAAATGGAGTTTGCTTGTGAAATTAAACTGCTCATGTGGAGGAAGGAGGGGGAAGAGGAGGAGGACATAAAAGGCAAGGTGTTTCTGAGTTAGGAATACTTTGAGTCCTGTGGGTGAACTTTGATAGCTGAGAAGTCTGCGTGCAGCGACAATGAGATGGTGTAACTCTAAGGTCAATATTCAAGACAGAAAGCAGACTTGGGCCTAGGGAAACTTCTTTAAAGTCATAAAAAAGGTCATTGAAAGAAAGAGCCCATAAGGCATTCGCACAGCATTTTGTTCTCAAAAGAGATGGGAGTGCATAGCAGAATATAAAGTAAGTCAAAGGGAAACAACAAGGCATCCCAGGTAATGCCTTGCCATAAGCAGATAACATGAGAAGAGAAAGGCTTACAGAACAGGTAAAGAGCAACGACACTTCGCTGAGCCTCCATTAAGACCTACAAGAAAACACGCACCAGTTTCAGCAGTCAGGATTAGCTACACCCACATTTCCCTATTTCAAGTACCACAGTCTCTGCAGCAGCGTAGAGTAGAACTCCTTCCCATCCATGTGTCCACGTCCCAAATCCCTGCAACAGCTCAACCGCTAACACTACCAGCTCATAAGGGAAAGGGCATTGCTACAGCCGTGTGACGTATGTCAGCCCAATCCAAGAACTAGGGACTCTTGAGCTTTGCACCAGACTTATTATTCCAGCATGATTGCCCCGTCAGGTCCTTGGGAGGGAAGCCAGGCAAGGTTTCTGAACTGAGTAGCCATCTGACGTAGCTACTTTCAGTCTCTGGAAGTCCCTCTGATAAGTCACGCTCGGTGCGCTGCTATTTCTGTAAAATCTGAACTCCCACTCAGCCCCTAGCACCCCAGAACTGGAGGAAGCCCCAGTAGTCTCCAACTGAAGCTTTCTGAAGCAGCACTGAGGAAGCTGAAACGTTCTTTTGGGTTGATATTTACACCTATCAGTGAGGCTGCAGAACCCCCACCAACACGACCATAATCAGTATTAATTCATTATTTCTTCTTTCTTCCCTAAAACTGGAAGCTGCCTGGGAGAAGGGAGCTTTTCTGC